CGCAACACGGCAGACGCCACTCGCACGGGCGCCCGCAGTGGTCGGGGACGCTCGACAAACCAACTCTCCGGATGCACGAGTGTGGCGCGGGGAAGACAGGGCGGCCGCGGAGAGAGCGGAAGCACGGGGAGGAGGGCGCTCACCGGCGAAAGAAACTCACGCCGAGCGCGCCGGAGAGCGGCCCGCCGGGGCTGCGGAGCCACACGCACTTTCTGTCCGCCGCGGCGCGGCAGAGGCCAGCCGCACGCGCGCTCCACGAGCTGTCCGGGGGCACGGCACAGGAGCTGTCCGGCGGCACGGGGGGGGAACGGGAAGGCGGGAGGCGGCCGCGGAGAGCGGGAGGGGGTGGGAGGGCACGCGGCGCCACACACACGCGCACACACAGAGACTGGTTGGCGTCGCGGCCCTGCGCGCAGCGGCAGGGCGCAGAGACACCACGCACGCACGCACGCACGCACACACGCACGCATATACCCACCCACACACACACACACACACACACACACACACACACACAACACACACAGGCGTGTACTCCACTAGCAGGCCGTGCGACAAAATGACATAGCACATCGACCCCATCCCCCTCCCACGCCTCCTCCTGCTCTTCCTGCCCCGCCTCCCCCATCCCTCCCCTGTTGCTGTATGGGGGCCGAGCCTGGCTCGAGCCTAACGAGTGGCTCGACTTGCTCTTGGGCTGCGCCCCGTGCCGCCAGGCGGGCACGGCCGTGGCTTGCGCTGTTCTGCGAGACCTTCCCGACAGAAGGCGTGCCCCTGCGCTGTGCGCGCCGTCGCGGCGATGCCACGTCGCGTGCACAAGATCCACCTCCACCTCCTCCTCCTCCTCCTCCTCCAACTCCTCCTCCTCCTCCTCCTCCTCCTCTACCTCACCTCCTCCTCCATGCTGCATCGTCTACAGGCGGCCACATGAGCGGTGGACAAAAATATCTTACGCGAGATAGAATAGCCACCTCACCCCGCGGCTTACGCGGGCCGCGGGCGCGGCTTATTGCGTGGACAACGAGGGCGCTCGCGCACGACCTCACGCGGGGAGCTTGCGCGCCAGTGTCGCGGCAGACAACCCCATGTTCCCACGTCGATCACATGTGAGACCTAGTTCCGCAGGTCGGACTGCTGAAAGCCCGTCCGGATTTGAAGGAGGGGGTGCCTCATGCCCCAGCGTCGATTGGACCCGCAGGGGTAGGGTTCGTGAGTGGTCGCAGATTCTACATCACCTAATTTCGCACGTCGCGCCACGCGAAGCGCAGCACGCGGTCTTCTTCGCGCCGACTGGAGATCCAAATCTTGTAGCTGATCTTCGGTGGCCAAGCCCACCGTATGGCCCGCGGGGCCAGACGTCGTTGCGGCGCACACCGCGGCCAGGGGCTCTCGTCTTGCCGACAGGCGCTGCCGACTGCGAGCTGCTGGGCATCGGGATGCTAGCACAGCCGCGCGGGCGCTCACGCTATCCAGGGCGTCTCGCGGTCTGCTGCTAGTACTGAGGGGTCGTTCCTCCTCTCTGCAGCACTTCGTGCTGTCGAAGCTCCCCTGACGGAAGCCTCCACCAACGCGCACTGTTGGCAGCGACCCGGCGAGCCGAACCCTCCTCGACACGGGCATGACACACTTCTCTCCGGAGCCCGCCGGACATGGCCCCTCTGGGGCCCGGAGTGGCAACCTCCGGCGGAGCTCCAGAAAGCACCCGTCCGTGAGTAACCATCTCGGTGCCGCCGATATTGCCCTCATGGCAGGACGCTGAAGAGCGTAGCTCCGGCGGGGCCGCGCGGCCGGTGTCACTTCCAGGGCAGCATGTGGTCCGTCGCCAGCGCTGCGAGGCATCGTCGGCGCCTGCGGCGGTCCCTGGCAGAGGCCCTGCCAGAGGCACCTGCCCACACGCTGTCCCCCGCGGACGGGCGCTGGGGCGCCCGGCTCCCGCGGGGGCGTCCTACCATCCAAATGGCCTGCTGCCCACCGGCTCTGTGTTACACTCTGGGGGGGGGGGGGGGGGCGCACCTACGCGGGACATAGGAGCGGCGAAAACAAGCGGGTCTTCCGCACAATGGCATACTAGGGGCCTCCTAGATGGGGTCCGAGTAGATGGGGTCGAAGGATCGCGCCGAATCGGCGACGTCGGCGTGGGGAAGCACGGGCTCCGCATCGAGCCGCATCGCCGATGCATCGGCGATGCGGCGAGATCCTCCGACCCCATCTACTCAGACCCCATCTGGGAGCCTTAGACATAGCGAAATTACGCGGTGGCTTACGCGGGCCGCCAGCGAGGCACGCACATTGGCGGCGAGGGCGCTTACGCACCATTCTACGCAGGCAACTTACGGGCGAAGATCGGCACAGCCAACACCCGTTGTTCTGCGTCGATCAGATGTCAGATTCCGCCAGACAAAGTTCTATACTATACCCAAAGGGGGGCGGGCGGGGGTCCTGGTCGTGGGTCTGGTACACAAAATGGTCCATCCATGGGGCGTGGCTTCTGTGTACTGAAAGTGGCCCTAGGCGGTGGAATCTGTCCGGGGCGGGGATGGTGCGGTATACCGAAAAATCGAGGACATGCAGTGGAGACTCATGCCAAGCAACACCCTACGAGCCTCCAGGGTGCCCTTAGATTTTTGGGTGTCGATGGTTCTGCTATGGGAAACGTGACGTTCCCCAGCTAAAATCAAGGAACGCCCTGGGGTTCCAGGATTGGGTTTCTTGTGGACGGTTTCTTGTGGTCGGGCCCCTCCTGTATGCGCATACGGCCGACGCGCGTCCGCAAGAGCGTGGGTCGGGAACCGCGGCCCCTCCACCGAGGGCCAAGAGGCCCCCTCGGAGGTGCCCCGAAGGGCATGAGGAGGCACTCCCTGGGAGCAGACGGCCCAGACGCGGAGCATAGGAGGGGCCAGGCGACAGCGACAACGACGACGACGACGACAACGACGACCACGATGGCGGCCACGACGACGACGACAACAACGACGACGACGACGACGACGACGACGACGACGACCACGAAGACGACGACGACGACGACCATGGCGACCACGACGACGACGACGACGACGACGACGGCGACGGCGACGGCGACGACGACGACCAGGACAACGACGAAGGCGACGACCACGACAACGCCGACAACGACATCCACGATCTCAGGGCTGCTCTTAACCCTCGCACTGGCTGTATACAGACAAGCGCGCTCCACTACTCGCAAAGGAACTGCTCGCAAGTGGCCTGGATCCGCCAAGGGGGATCTGCGATCCATTATATCGAGGCAGACGTTTGTTTCTCGGACGCTTGCGAGTAGGCACGCTGCGAGCAGTGGAACGCGCTCGGTGAGTAAAACTAGATGGCATCCCACATGGGGTTCGAGTGGATGGGGCCAGAGGGTCGCACCACGCCGCATGGCCGATGCATCGCCGACCAGAAGCCCAGAGCTCGGCAGGCAGTGTGCTCGAAAGCCCGAGGGAGCAGGCAGAGCACTTGCAGAGCAGCACGCCTCGCCCCTGAGAGGAGGAGGAGCAGCAGGCGAACCTTAGGCTGGGCGTGACCCCCTACAGTCGGATTTTGGATTAACGCTCAAAAATATCAAAAATTAGTCAAAACATCATCCCCATACTATTTCTAACCATTTTTGAAGATTCCTCCTGTAGAGGGACAGGCTCGACTTGAGGCGAGGAGAGCCCCCCACCCCCCCTGCACCCGGGGAGACCAAAGGGCACCCCTCACCGCTACTCCACGGACCACTCCCAGGGCGAATCTGGCGGTGGCGACGAGGGCCTCCCATGGGGCACACAGAAACATACTAGCACCGAACTACTTGTCCTCCTCGGGGGCGCGCGTCCGACCCGAATACCCAGCTTGTAATACATCGCTTCCCGAACGGTGCGGCCAGAAAACGCCCGCAACGACGCAGATACTGTGAGATTTCTCGGTGCGCGCGTCGCCCCTGGGAGGGCGACGCACACATAGTATTAGCATGCTGGAGCGACGCCGATCCCAGGAGCCCCCGAAAAGGGGAAAACGATCGGGCGCGGCCTGACCGATCCCTGCGGTGACGAGCGCCTTCCGCGACGTCCCCCGCGCCCTCCAGGCCCCTCCCTCTCCGGCCGCACGCGCCACGCCATCGGGGCGAGGCGAAGGGCACGTCGCGGCGAAGGGGCTGGACTACTTTGTCTTGCTCGGAGCACCTCCGGCGCCGTGGTTTCCGTTTCGTCCCAGGCGCGCGCCCCTCCCCCCCCTATAGTAACCAAAATTAGGCCGCTCCCAGGCCGAAGATGGGGCCATCAGCGCTACATGGGCCTGGGATGAGGAGCTGTGTCCTTGTGAAGGGGAGCGGCACCGAGCATCGCTCGACCGACCCCTGGCCCCACGGGCGTGGCCTGGACCCCACTGGCCAATTGACCCCCCTGGGCGCTACGGGGGAAACGGCTCAGGAAGAGGGGCACACCGGCCTGGAACTGGCGACACGAAGAAGGCTGCGCGACACGGGTGCAAAGACGGGCCAAATACGTAAGGTTGCAAGGGTACCCTTTGGGAAGGTTACCCATCTTTGCAATCGTTTGCGACTGTACATCGCCGACACATACCGCTCAACGAGGGGGCGCGCTCCGAACCTGCAGGGTGGGACCTTGCCGTCTTCTCTGCGCTTCAGCTTCGGCTCCGGCCTCGGCTGGTGGTGCACTCCGAGGCACCTTCGGGCCGGCTCACCCGAGGCGGTTTTCCGCTCGCACGGGTGCCTCCCTTAGGGCGACGAGATCTATGCATATTCACTGCTCCTGGCCAGGCCAATCCTGGGCCCAGGAGCGGTGTATACGCCCTCCTGGCCTGGCCAGGGAGGCATATACACAGCTCCTGGGCCCAGGATGGGCCTGGCCAGGAGCAGTGGATATGTATAGATCTCGTCGCCCTATCCCTCCCTCCCTCGCTCGGCCCGCAGCCTCACGTCTTTCCGGCCGGGCGCCTCCCGCCACCGGCCCTTCCGCTACCCCCGCGCCGAGGGCCGCTCCTCGCTCTGCCCGGTCTTCTTGCGGAGCACGCACAGGTTGCCGTTCTTGGCGATCCACATGTCCCTGCGGAAGAGAAGGGCGGGGAGCGGGATGGGAGCACCAGGGGGGACCAACTCTACACCAGGGACCGTGGACGGATCTGTCACTTCTCCGACGCTGTGCTGCGCCGAACGCAACGACCCGCTTGTCTGTAGACGCATCCAACCCGAACGCGTCTGCATACGCAACGACACCCAGCGCGTCTGTAGACGCCTGCGGCTGGAAAGGGAGAACGGTGCTTGGCGGGCCTGCTAGAAGCAGGTCGATCTCGCCCTCCAGGAACGGAGGGCGCAGACGAAGACGAGGGGGTGCGCGGGGGAGGACTGGTTGCCCTGCGGGTCCTGGGCCCTGCATGAGACCCGAGGTCGAGGCACCAAGACAAGCTGGAGTCACGATCGGGGCCCTCGACATCCTCTGGCGGCGTTCCTAGAGCCCGATATCGCGCAGTGAGCATCCTGGGGCCCTTGGGCGTGGCTTCATGGGGGGGTCATAAATTGGGGGGTCAGAAACGGTCCCCTTTCGTGCCCCTTTCGGGCCCCTCCGGAGCCCCAGGGGGCTCGTTTAGGCACCGTTTGGGTACCTTTTCGGACCACCCTCGCCACCCCCCCATTTATGACCCCCCTATTACGCAACGCCCAAGGCCCGAACCTGGGCGAACGCGCCGGGTGAAAAAAAGTGTACGGCGCCCAGATCTACGCAAGGGCAGGGACACTCTCGGCGACTGGCTCTTCGTCCCGAGTCGTGGTCCCAGAGCCCCTGGAGGCCGAGAACGGCCAAAAGAACCTCGGCGCAGGGGGTGAGAGAGCAGCGAGTCGCACCCCCACGCCCAATTTCTGCCCCCCCCCGGTCTTGGTGTTCGGGGAAGGGGTCCTGGTGGAAACGAGAGGCGAAGCCAGGATGAGAACAGCTTCGGGTGAGGGTAACCGCACGCCCCCGACAAACGCAGGGTGGGGGTCCTAAAACTCGGGGCTCGGAGGGGTAATCCATGCATCGTCCCAGCAACTCGGATGCACGATGTTATGTTAGTATGGTGTAGCGATAGGTCGGGCATGTCCTCCTACAGGCCGATTCGGAAAGAAGTAAATCAAAGAAAGTCAAAGGCCACGACAAATCGTCCCCAGACGATGGTTTCACTGTTCTTGCATGTTCATCCTGTGGAGGGGCCTGCTCGACTTCGGTACAGCGATCGCCTGCTCGCTGGCGGGGCCTCCCGGGAGGAGTCGGGAAACTCTGAGAGCTCACGGGCACGAAGGATGTGATTGCTAGGCGCCGCGGCCGGCTCCGGAGCGCGCACAAGGACACTCTGAGAGCGCTCCGGAAGTCTCTGGAGCGATTCGAGTTTAGGCCAGGCATGTCCTCCTACAGGCGGATTTTGGCGGAAAAGTGAACATTTGTCAGATGTTCTGTCTTACATGTCTTTTTCATCTCTCTCTATATATATATACATTCTAAAACCATCGCGAGCGTCGCGCGCGCTCAGGTTCTAGCAGGCCCCAGGCCTTGACGGATTCACTGCTCCACTGAAGTAGTGGACCACAATAGACGCATTCCAATCTGCATTCCGAAAAGGCCTTTGAGGAAGATGGTTGTGTAGAGGGGCGGAGGCCGTATGAATCGGGTTCCCAGAAGGCCTTCTGGGAGCATGGGTTTGGGGGCGTCTTGGGGAGCCTGTTGGTGCGTGCCGTCGTCGTCGTCGTAATGTCGTCGTCGTCGTCTTCGTCGTTTCGTCGACGTCGTCGATTCAAGAGGGCACTTGGGGCAACTTTGTGCGAAACGATCTGCGGAGGGCCGCGTGAAGGCGATCAGTCATGTTCCCAATCAACTTCCCAGACAACTCTCCTGTAGCATGATGATGCTTCGAAGCCTCCGGAGACTCGCGGGCCCATGATGCACCATGTCCCCGGAAGGTCTTCTGGTGACATGGTTTGTTGGGGTGTGTTGGGGGGTCTCTTGGGCGTTCCCTGGGGGCCCCTTGGGGGCCTCCAGGAACTCTCGGGCCCATGATGAACCATGTCCCTGGAAGGTTTTCTGGGGACATGATTTCTTGGGGTGTGTTGGGGGGCCTCTTGGGCGTTCCCTTGAAGCCCCTTGGGGGTCTCTTGGAGCTTCCTGGGGGCCTCTTGGGCGCCTCACGGGGCTTCGTGGGAGCCCCTTGGTTGCTTCCGGGGGCCTACAGGCGGCCTCTAGGGCCAGAGACCTCGAAATATCGGTTGGCGGTACCCCTCTGGGCCCTCTCTTGGGGAGCTCTTGGGGCACAGCTGGGTTGTCTGGGGAGCCTCCTGGGCCGTCTTGGGGCCCTCTTCGGGGCCTCGTGGCCCGTCTTGGAGTGATCTGAAGGGCCTCCGAGCGAGGCCGTGAGGGAGCGCTGGGAAACTGGGAAAGCGAGAACGCCTAAACCCTCCAAAAACCATCGGAAAATTTGTGAATCTTGCCCCCCAGGACCCTCTTGGGGAGCCTCTTGAGTCCATCCTGGAGCGTGTTGGAGTCCTCGTCGGCCGTCTTGAGGGCAGCTTGGGCGTCTTCGGGGCCTCTTGGGACCGTCTAGGGCCCTCTCGGGACCTCCATTAGCCTGTCGTGGCCTGCTTCGGGGCGGGCCAGGGCCGCCTCGGGACCCCTCCGGGCCTTCTCTTGGCGCGCTCTTGGGGCACACTTGGGTTGTGTGGGGAGCATCCTGGGCCGTATTGGGGCCCTCGTCGGGGCCTCGTGGGCCTTCTTGGAACGATCTGAAAGGCCTCCGAGGCAGTGAGGGAGCGCTGGAAAGCGGGAAAAGTGAGAACGCCAAAATCCAAAACACTCGGAAAACGAGTGAATCTTGCCTTCCAGGGTCCTCTTGGGGAGCCTCTCGAGTCCGTCCTGGAGCGTGTTGGAGTCCTCGTCGGCTGTCTTGAGGGCATCTTGGGCGTCTTCGGGGCCTCGTGGGACCGTCTTGTGTCCTCTCGGGACCCCCTTAGCCTGTCGTGGCCTGCTTCGGGGCGGGCTCGGGCCGCCTCGGGAGCTCTGGACCCCCCCCCGCAACCCCCGGTGGGCACCGATGGGGGGAACAGGCAGCGGCCCGCCCCCCCCCCAGGGCCTACTCCGAGATAGAGAATCATGTTCCCGGGAAGCTTTCCGGGAGCATGATTTGTTCGGCTCTCTAAGAGGGGGGCCTCTGGGGGCTTACCGAGGGGCGCCTTTTGGCCTTGTCGGCAAGCCTATTGGAAACATGGTTGGGGCGGTGGGCGGAAGCCCAAGGAATCATGTTCCCAGAAAGCTATCTGGGAAAAACGATTTACCGAAGTGTCTTGGGGGCCCGCAGGGGGCTTCCCTGGGGGTCCCTTGGGGGCCTATTGGGGCTTCCGGGGGGCCTCTTGGGAGCCTCACGGGGCTTCTTGGGAGCCTCTTGATGGCCTCCGGGGGCGTCCTAGGAGCCTCTCAAGCCAGAGACCTCGAAATGTCGCGCTCTTCGGGCCCTCTCGGGTCGCTCTTGGGGCTCTCTTGGGGCGCTCTCGAGGCCTTCTTGACTTATCTGGGGAGCCTCCTGGGCCGTCTCTAGGCTTTCTTGGGAGCCCCTTCGGCAGTCTTGGAGCGATCTGAAAGGCCTCTGACGCGGTCCGGGACCGAGGGGAAGCGGAACATAGGAGAGCGCAAGAATGCCTCAAAAACCTTTTTGGGAAACTTATGATTTCCGGCTTCTGGCCTCTGGGGGCTGTCTTTGGGCGTCCTGGGAACCCGGAAATCATGTGTTCCTGGAGAGGCTTCCGGGAACATGATTTTGAACGAGGCTCTCTTGGGTCTCCCTGAGGCCGTCTTGGGGGCCTCCTGGGCCGGCTTCGGGGCCTCTTGGGCCCTCTTGGGGGGTTCCGTGAGCCCCACAGGCCGACCCTTTTGGGCCGTCTTGGGCCCTCTTGGGTCTCTCTTGGGCTGTCTTGGGGCTCCGCGGGGGCGTCTGGGGCACTGTGAAGACGAAGCCAGCGAGTATGCTGAATATTACGTTTTACCAGGGAAATGGGCCGATTTGTGCCTCTTGAAGGCCCTCTTGGGGCCGTCTTCGGTCATCTTCAAGCCATCTCGGGCCCTCCTTGGCCTCGCTGAGGCTGTCCTCGGGCTCAGTGGGGGGCCCTGGGAGCCCGGAAGCCATGTTCCCGGAGAGGCTTCCGGGAACATGATTTCGAACGAGGCCCTCTTGGGCCTCCCTGAGGCCGTCTTGGGAGCCTCCTGGGCTGGCCTCGGGTCCTCTTGGGCCCTCTTGGGGGGTTCCGTGAGCCCCACAGGCCGACCCCTTTGGGCCGTCTTGGGCCCTCTTGGGTCTCTCTTGGGCTGTGTTGGGACTCCGCAGGGGCGTCTGGGGCACTGTGAAGACGAAGCCAGCGAGTATGCTGAAAACGCACGTTTTACTATGGAAATGGGCCGATGCTTGCCTCTTGAAGGCCCTGTTGCTGCGGCTCGCCCTGCCCTTGCCGCCTCCGCGGCAGTCCCCCTCTTTTCCGCGATGCCCCAGCTGCCGCAGCTCGCCCGGCAGTGGCCCCGCCGCACACTCCGGCCTCGAACGCGGCGTGTGCGATCGCCACCGCTGCCACAGAGAGGAGCCGTTGCCGCAGCCCCCGTGGCCAGGAAGCTGCCTGCGAGGGCCCAGAAACGGCGAGAAGCCGGCCGCCACGTGTCGCCGCGGCGCCCAGAGCTGAGGGCCGGGCGGGGCAGAACCGGCCAGCACCGAACATCGGGAAGCCGCGGCTCGACAGGGAAAGCGCGTCGGACCAGGCCACATCGGCACGGAGCCGGAACCGGATCGGATCGGCCGCTCCGGGATGCACAACAGCACGATGCAACCATCGGGCCGCATCGCATCGTCGGAATCGGATCGGTCTGGCCGGAATCGATACCGAATCCGATCGATCGGACTGGCATGGACCCCGACCTCGGCTTTTGGGTAATCACCCCGCTCTCCGGCGGCCGTCCGGGGAGGAAGAGGAGGCAAGGAGGATCGATGAGGATCGAGGAAGTTCGAGGAGGAGGAGAACCTCCTAGACTCGACATTGCGGCCAGGTGGAGGAGGAGGAGGAGGAGGAGGACGAGGAGGAGGAGGAGGAGGAGGACGGGGCGGAGGAGGAGGAGGAGGAGGAGGAGGAGGAGGAGGAGGAGGAGGAGGAGGAGGGGGCGGACGAGGAGGAGGAGGAGGAGGAGAGGAGGAGGAGGAGGGAGAGGAGGAGGGCGGAGGAGGAGAGGAGGGAGGAGGGAGGGAGGAGGCGGAGGAGGAGGAGGAGGAGGAGGACAAAGGCGTCAGGAACCGACGAGAACGTCCGACGGCTCGCCCTGCCCGGAGGGGCCAGGCCGGGCCTCCAGACCCAGTCGTCTGGGTTGTCCAGGGCGCCCTTCGGGCTCAGCCTCCAGAGCATGGTCTTGAACACGGGGGCGTTCTCGCCCTGACGGGCCGCGCGGGCCTCCTCCTCATCATCCTCCTCCTCCTCCTTCCCCTCCTCCTCTCCTCCTCCTCCTCCTCCCCCTCCTTCTCTTCCTCCTCCTCCTCCTCCTCCTCCTCCTCCTCCTCCTCCTCCTCCTCCTCCCCCATCATCATCGCACACTCCGAGGCACCAGAGACAATCCACGAGTCACAATAAGATTAACATTGCTGCAGCAAGTCTACCTCTGAAGGTGCAGAGGGCAAAATGAGAGAATTACACAACCCTATTTGGCGGGTCTTCCCCAAGGTTCCTCTTGAGGGCTAGTTGTTTTGCTTCTTCGGTTTTATCTGTAACTGCTGAGTCAAAACCCTCAACAGAGAGACCGAAGGAAGCAGCAACGTGTTCCTTTTCCCACCACTCCCCCCACACCGCCACATGAGGGACTGAAAAATCAGCCGTGGGCTTTCGCCAGCATAGCACGGCGGCTTTGGGAGCAAGCATCGCTGCAATCGCCTGCGGAGTTGGGGCCCTCCAAGCCCCCACAGTCCAACCACTGTATTGGCGAGACCCGCAGGGAAATTGTAATTTACGGGCACGGTTGCGCTGTTTGCGCAGAGTCTCGGAGGGTGGCGACACATTGCATGGTTTGGCAAGGCTCAGAACGTCCTCCCAAGCATACCCGCCACAAGCAGCACAAACAAGAACCGCGGGGCTCTTAGGCGGAGCGGGCGGCAGCCCAGAGATAACAAAAACCTCAGCTTGCCTAAGCGCATGTCCTTGCAATGCTGCAAGGATGCTTAGCTCTTCTGATACTTCAGGGGCGACAATGAGCCTGCCTTTGCAACGCCTAGTCGGATTCCCTGGAGGACTGCTAGAGAGGGGAGACCCACCCGCCTCCCCAGAGGTCGACCGAGGAGGGAGGGGGAGGGCGTCGTAGTCTTCGCGCTCGGCTATCAAAACTTCTCGGATAGCAGCCCGGCGCGCAAATTCTTTGACAATATCTGCCAGGGCAGCAAGGGCATGCATACAGTCAGAAGTGTCAGGATGCTGGCTAACTCCACGCCCCGCATACACATCAGCAGCACGATTACCATTCCACTCATACTCAGAGATGCGCCCCTCGGCAACAGCAGAGAAGGGAAGGTGGGCTTCGACCTTCACTGCACTAATGGATGGTAGCTTCCTGTGGATTTCTTCCCACAAATGGCATCGAGAATGCCGAACAGAGGTGGACCAGATCTTGTCATTAACAGCATCTATGGTGCCCTGGCAGTCAATGTGGAAAACCGCTTCTCCTACGACCAATCCACGAGCTCCCTGCAAGACAGCAACATCCCCCCCATCGCGCACGGTCTGAAAGGGCCCTAAATCCCAAGACACCGCGCCACAGACTGCTGCTGACAGAGAGCCGTCATCGTTGAGCTGGGTTAAAGCCCAGCCCGCTCTGCGGGAGAGGGAGCAGGCGGGGTGAAGGCCAGAACCGCCAGTGAAAACATGGCCTGACAGGTGTCCTGAGTCAGGCCGTTTAATCCAAACAATATTGCACTCGCTATCCCACAGTGGCCAATGTACAACCTCTATGGGCATAGGGAAAATACCACAAGCCGCCTTCTCGATATCCTGCCCCGACAGCTGCAACACAGACGCGCAGCGGAGCAGTCGCGGGCTACAGCACTTACCTCGGTCGGCGGCCCAATGTGGGCAAAGGAAACGTCTGCGCCAGAGGGCGCCAGGTTTGCACTTACAAGCCTGGCAAAGGTCAGTGTCAGATTGCTTGTGGCGCGCTTGTTTGGCTTGGCACCAGTGTTGCTGAGAAACCAAAGAGCGCAAACTAGACTGGCGCCTAGCCGTTCAGGTTTCCGACAGACGACCCTCCAAGAGCCCAGCCAAAGGCTTCCAGAAAATCGGGCGGGCCCAGCCAGGCGACTCTTCCATATTGCTAAGCGCAGCCACATCAGAAACATTACGAGCGGCTCGGTGGGCCACCCAAACAACCTGCTTGGGAGCAAGCTTGGTGAGACAGATTTCTTCCCCAGTGTCAATGATGACACGGTCGGCCGAGGGGGCGCTCCACCCAAGCTGTTCGACAGTCAGCAAATACATATGTGCAGGGCTAGCCGCCGAGGCCCACAAGTTGGAGGCCCGTTCCAAATCCCGAGCTGCCGAAACCAAAACAGCCTGCAAAATTCCTAAGGCTGGCCTACCTATCCATACCGCACGCGCCCAGAAGCCTATGACGTGGGAGTGGTAGATGCAGAAGGGGTCCATGACGCGGCCGAGCTTAGTCGCGGCCAGCTCGAGGCCAACCGAGGCGCCCTTTTTTATCCACATGCAGGCTGGTAACCGCAGCTCTACGAAGCAGGTGTAGTTGTCTCCCACTAAGTCCAGACACTCCAGAGCCCCATAAGGCCGTGGCCTGTGGCCCCGCACGCTGAGTGGATCCGAGTTTAGCCCCTGCCTGCTTCAACTTCAACATTCTGAAGGACCTCCGAAGACCTTTTTAAAACCGAGTCCCAGCCGTGTGAAGCACTCGTCTTTTAGCATCATGGGAGTCCGTGCCAAGGCCTCGCGAAGCCGAATTCCTTCCACTCCTGCTTCAGAGCGTCCGCCAACTCGGGGTTGGAGGCAACGAAGTGAGTCTTGCTGGCCGCCAACACCAGCTCCAAACGCCTGTACCCAGAGGCAAGAAAGCGTCCAGCGCCTCCTAGTTGTGCAGCGACAAAGCGAGACGATCCTAGGCACTGCGCATGTACATCATCGACTACATTCCTGACTAACACAGCTGGGAACGTATCTGCTATAGAGACCATGAGCCTGTAAAGTAGGACCTTGACTAGGGATGTAGCCAGAGAGCATCCAGCCAGAACCGTTCTGTTAGCTTTAAACACCGACGAGATAGCATCCATGAACGCGAGGCACCTGGGCCCCGAATACAAGTTACAAGCCACGTATATGAGCTTGAGGTTGATATCAACTGCTACAGCTTGTTCGAACAGCCGATAGTACGAAATACGTTCGTAGAATTTCGAAAGGTCAGTGAAGAGCGTGCCCGAGTCGAAGTCGATTGTCTTAGCATAATGTGACATGATCTTATGTTCCCAACCTGCTGTGTCACACTCCTTAGTAGAGCAGCCCCAAAACGCAGATATCTGGTGAGATTGTTCCCAAGACCTGGCCAGGCTCCGTCGTAGGCGGGCCCAAGTACGCCCGAGGGAGATGATCAGAGCCAGAGGTCTGAGGTCAGGGGACTCGGGCTTACCCGTGAACACGATCATGGCCGGCCATTTATCCGAAAGGTAAGGCTTCTCTTCCCAGAGGATCAAGACATCCAAAAGTCGATTCCGAAAATCGTCACTCAACAGGAGCCATGACCTCGGATTGATGCAATCAATACCAAGGCCGACGTTATGCCGAAAGCGTGTTAGGGCTGCATCTAACATGTCGAGGCTAGGCTGAGGGAGCGCAGCGTTCTGGGCGGCAACTCTCTGAACATCTGCCAGGCGCGTCTTGGCATCGCGCCACATCGCGCCCCAGGAGTCGCACAGGCTGTCGACAGCAGAATCACCTATAAGGGGCACACCTGTGGCGTCCTCTGGCGGTCGCAGCTGCTGCTTATCCTTCGCAAACCTGCGTGCAGCTTTTCCTCCTCCTCCTACAGCTTCCTTAGCCCACCTCTGCCACTTCTGCCACCTAACCCGTCCTTCTGTGATCAAAACCTTGTCCGCTACCTCGACCGCCCGCTCAGACAAAAATTCAAACTCGTCGCCGCCACGAGCAGCCACTGTGTAGAGGTCATCTAAGCAGCACAGGCCAAGGATAAGGTCGGAGGTGATCGTTTTTGTCTAACTTCCCCAGAATGTTCAGGAGGTTCTGGCAGAAATCAGGGGGGTAGTCATCAGGGGGGCCCCAGAAACTTCGAAGGCGCATGATGGTAGACCGAAAGGTACGCCAAGAGCGGGCCTTAGGGGTAGAGTGCGCATCCCACTGCCTGTTGAGGGCCTCCTTAAGTTGGACCTTCTTCCTCTGGAAGCCTCGAGATCTCCCGGTGCACTGGGACCTGTCGGGCCCGAAGATATCAAACTGGTCACACAAGTTGGTTTTCCATGTTATCTAACCACTGGCACCATATAGAGTCTAGGTCGCTGGAGGGATCCAAATCACCCGTGCTCCAACTCCAGGTGGCTTCAGACAGTTCTCTCACACATCCGATTCGGGGCTTGGTGGGGAAGGCCTTCCAAGTAACCCTGACATGCATAACCTGGTTCAGTGTGAAATTCCGAAGCTCCATTAAGACGGGAACGTGAGGTGACGAAAATCCAGCGAACAGGGCGGAGACCGAGGTGATAGCAGCTGCCACACCTCTGGACACAATGAAATAGTCCAAGGTCTGCTTGTGGCAGGTCGGAGCCTTGGGCGCAATGATTGTGCCACCTACAAGCGTACACCAGCCGAGCAGCCCAGGGTCCGAGGCATCAATGTTGAGGTCACCTCCAAGGGCCCAAGGGGTCTTAAGCTGTTCCAGGAACTTCCCAAGGTCCTCCAAGAGCTGGATGTTTAGGCCAGTGCACCCAATTCCAGTATAGCCATACATAGAGACCCAGTGCATTCCCCCAGGTACGACAGCTTGGGCGTGGGTGACGACAATCCTCCCACGTCCGACTGGCCCCACCCCGAGCTGTTCATACGAAAGGTGTCTGCTCGCAATATGACGTCGGACAGCGACAGCAACACCTGCCGAATTAGCTAGTTGGTGGCCTCCTGTGAGAACAGCAGGAGCATGATGGGAGTTGAGGCCTCGAAAACCTGCCCAAGAAGTCGCCGAAGATACAGGGTCTCCTGCCAATAGACGCGTCTCCTGGACAGCAACGAAGTCAGGAACCTCCCCCATGAGATGTATCCATTCCCAAACGTCCTGGAACCCGTTCCAGTTGTTAGGGTTGGTCGTGAAAAATCTCCAAACTTTGTCTTTGCTGTTTTGGGCCTTGGGACGCTGGCCTCTCCCAACACTCCTGCCTGCAGGATGAGGCGACGGGTCGGGA